TGGGCAACGTTCCTACACCCAAAACCATTCCCACAATGGATTTTAGAGGGGGTGTCTTTGCTATTTTTGCTTTGATATGAGTTTTGCTGGAGTTTTACTTTAACATGGATGATGGAAAGGAAAGTTGCATGCACCTTTCCAGGCAGAAACACCACAATCAGCAGAGGGCCATGTTAACTTTCTCAAACATTACTTTGTATTACCTTCCCCCCAGAATCCTGGGCTCCCCCTCCCCTTAGCGTGGCATATGGAATTAGATAACAGAGGATCTTAAAACAGTTTGGAAATTACAAAACAATTCTATTTACTACATACCAGACTGCTGGAAGAGATTAAAGAAAATGTCTTTTCAGGTTCATTAACATATGTATATCTCAACAGACTTAGATGTAGAATAATAAATGCCATTTTGAAGAACAGTAACTGTTTGTTAGAAAAAGAGCCATTTTTAAGGTTTAAAACAGCAAAAGCAGAAATTTGTCTATAGCAACAGTAAGGCTCAGAGAAGAAACAGCAACAGAATTGAAAGGAAAACAAACATCACACAGAAAACAAACAAAACTGTGTTTCCCCAGTAAATCTTTTCCAGTCAGTGACTGAATTCAGCACTTCCCATAGATGGTAAAACACAGCAATAGTTACAGGTGGCTTTTCTAAGGGAGGTTGCTGAAACCTTGGCTCTTTAAAATGTCACAAAACACAGAACCTTTCGAGTAGGAAGAAAAAAGCCTTAAATTTCAGTTCCAGGATATACAGAAACTCAATTTATGTCCATTTTTACAGCAAAAAAATTTACACACTGTCAGTGCCATTCTCATTGTCTACTCCTACCTGTCAGTAAAGTCACCATGATGACATTCAGAAATTACTGTCATTTAGGCATTCCTAGAGTGTCTCTACAGGGATGGATTTGAGAGCTCAACCACTTGAACAGGAAAAGAGTAAAGATGGGAGGGAGAAAATTCCCGGTGCTATACATCAGCACTGACTTCAAACAGAACACAACAAAACTGCAAGTAAAACAAAAAGTTCTATTTAACTAGCTTCTGCTCACTGTTTCCCCTAGAGCTTGGGGTTCATTTTAACAAGTTATATAAGCATTAGGGATCATCCTTCTTCATATCTTCTACAGATGGACAAACACTCCTAAAGCTCTGAACTGTGGAGACAGCTCTGGTGACAGGGAAGTATTTACTCTGCATGCAGTGTGTGCCTTTAAAATATACATGCAAGGAAAAGAAGCTAGGCAGAAGATGGCCATGGAGAGCAAGGAACTGGGATGTGGCAATTACTGGGAGTTGGAAATGACTATTTACTCTTCCACTGAATAACTTAAAAAAATAATTCACCATGGCAACAATCATACTTCATAGTAGATAAAGCACTGAGTGCTACAAAGCCTTTGCAGAATGAATTATGCACCAGTACGTAGCATGCACTTGCTTTATATTACTGCACACACATTCCAACAAAATTTCCTTTTTGACTCATCTGGCATTTGCTTTTTTGCTCTGCACCAAATATCATACACTTTTCTGACTCTGATATCATGAGTCTGGAACTGTTGAAGGCATTTATTGTGTCTGTTCCAGAGATTCCTGTAAAATAATTAATGCATTAATTATCTCCTTAAGTTGAACTGAGTGTTATATTGAAAAAGAAAAAAACTTATTTCCTCCTATTCATAATGGTTTCTTCCCCCATCGTTGCTCAAATTGCATCATATTATGAGAAAATTCATATCAAAGTTACAATTATGAAAATTGACAGTACATTGTCTTCTCCATCTAAAATCCAAATATAAATTATCAGGCTTTGACAGGACAACAGAACTTAGGCAGCAATGTGCTCTACAACACACGCTCCCACCAGGGTAGTTCAGCTAAAGCAGTGTGAAAAGTGGAGCATATAAAACATCTGTGAGTTTCAATAAGTAGTTTCATATTAAGATCAGCAGTTCACAAATCAGAAAGTAATTTCATCAATGGAAGCACACAAATGCGTGGGAATAGAAAAGCACATTGACTCTGCCTCTGATTTCCTGCTTACTTCTTAGCAGATGCATCCAAGGAATATTTAGGTTAAATTTAAACCAAATCAATTCAGAGCAATGCAAATAACCAGAAATTATCCAGTTTACAACTAATGGTTGCTCAGGCAAATAAACCTGAATAAAACTGAATAATTAACCATGAAGACAAAGAGAATTAATTGATGCTTCACTGCAGAGATTCACCTATCCTCAGTAGTTCCCACTGCACGCAAGGAGGTATCAGTAGTCATGGTCCCAGTTCCGTGTGAAAGGTGCAACTCATGGAGGAGTACTTACAACACAGTAACAGGACGTAGACCAGTGGTTTCCTACAAGTACCAGCCCTGTCACAATCACTGCAGTGCCAGGGAACAGGCAGAACTCTTGTCATTTGGGATGCTTGTACGTCCCAGCAGAGCCTGGAGTGCAGCTCCCACGCGAGATGGAGACAAACCCCACAGGGCCGAGGCTGCAGCAGCAGCACCGCCCTGCAGCCCCACATCCTGCTGGGTCACACCCGCACCCCACTGCTCCGGGCCAGCCCACCCGGAGCTCACCTCGGCCCACAGGTGGGGGGCTGTTCTTCGCAAACACTGGGAGAGTCCGACTGGAATGCCTGGAACCACTAGGTGTCAGCAGAAGAAAGTGCACGGCCACGGCTCCCATCCCGAAAATCTGAGCCTCGCTTCCCAACATCCCCCAGCTGCTCAGTCCTACCAAGCACCCTTACACACACCTCGTATTCACACAGATTGTCCTGCTGAAGATGACCCACTTGTGTGAATTCAATATTTAGAAGAGATAAAAACATTCCCTCTGCAAACAACAAAAAAATTGGGAATTTGAAAAAGGTCATTCACGTGAACAAAATGCTCACACTGGTGTCACTGGTAGACATTTAAGCCATATGCATCAGGATAATCTGCCTCAGTACAGCCCAGTGAACACCCAGCTGCTGCTGAGTTTGACTGGACTTAATAGCAACAGAGCTTTGTGGGGCTGTAAGTACATCACACCCAGCAGACACTGCTCTGCATTTAAAACTGGCTTAGTGCAGCTACAGGAAACACCATAGGAAACAGCACTGCAGCAGTTACTTTGTCCAGTAAATATTACTATTATTACTATGCTTGCCAACTGTATACCTAGATATGTTTTTTCATGCAATTTCTAGTTACCAAGGGCCTCAGAAACTCATTGCCAGTGCTCTGTTTATATGTACATTACACACACTTGTATCTCTAAAGTAAAAGACTCTGAACAGAATGAGCTCTTACTATGCTAAAGTATAATAATGTGAATGTAGAGCCTGCTCAGTGACACATTCTGGGCCTAATAACAAAGAATAATGAAAAATAGATTCACACCATTTATCCTGGAAAGTCAGCTCATACCAATGAGATAGTCTAGGAAATTAAATTGTCTTATGAGACAGAAACTATGAAAGGAGGAAAATGTATTCTGTATGTACTTCTTTGAATGTATTTTCTAATTATCGATGATTCTAAAATAACAGTCAGGTTTCTGGAGTTATAGGACATGACATGCAAAGAACCATCTGATGTTTGGTATTACTTATGCCCTGCACTTACTCCATGTGAAGGTGATACATGAACATGAAACACCTGCAAATCTGCTTTATCTAAATCCGAGTACTGAAAGGTATAATCACAAATCAAACTGTTGATTTACAAAAAGCCTTAGGAAAGAAAGCCCTGAAATTTTCCACTTTCTGATTATTAAAGTGAGTTTTATGACATATTTGTGCAGCTATATTTACAAGTTTTCTTTGATGGAATGAGAAGCAAACGAAACCATTTCTGTTACTTCCTCAGGTTAGCTGTCCCTCAAAGTTGCACTTTCTAGGGGCGTGCCACTGTCAACTCATTTCAAATGTTCATCTTTAACATTCAGCCTTCAAAATACCAGATGGTATTTCCAGAACAGCAATTTAAATTTTTATTTTCCTTCATAAATCCCTTAACTAGTTAATCTCACACACACATCCAGGCAAAGCATACACCAATATTCCCAGAGTTGCCTGGCAACTACAGGGAGGAGCACTGGAGAACAAGGAAGCCTGCAGGGATGGAGGGGAGTCAGTGTCTCCCCAGCAGGGATAAAGGAGGCTCACAGCCAGAGCGCCTCGCTGCCTCCATCACTGTCATTTATGTGGCCCCCAATTTAAATACCACCATGATTTCACCTGAGGTGCTTTAAAAGCCCAGTTCTTACACCCAGACATACACACACAAGTCAATACTATTTATTTTTTCCACACACACGGATTCCCCCAGTAAGATGGGGAAGGACTTGTGCTGACTTGAAAAGTCATTTTTGAAACCTGAATATGAACCACTGATATAATGGTAATAACTGGGCTGTTTAAAAGTCAGGCTGAGCTGTGTTTTCCTCCTGGCTTTAAAAATAACAAGACAAACTACAGTACTGGAGAGACTTTAGCTACTGAAGTCCTCAAGAAACACTATACCCATGGTCCAACTTTTGGCCATGTAACCATTTAACATCATGGTTAAAATTCAATTTATCACCTGTCTACAGGCCAAATCTTTTCATTAATCTTCAAAGGGCAGGAAAATGCCAAATACACCACCTTTTAACACAAAAACACAATGAAGAGAAGGGTTTTGCAGAGGAGGGAATGCTCAGCTTTTCACTAACCTCTTATGATCATTAATTTATTCTTTCTTATCATCTGTAATTCGACTGCTTTCAAAACCAAGCAAGACCAATACCTTTCCATATGAAGTTTTTTCCCTGTGTGATGGATCATGCTTGTTGTACCTCTTTCATTTTGGAGACTTGAACACTGTTTTCAGTACTAGTCAGCCAAAGAGCCACCATGCTGACCTTAGGAAGAGCAGGTTATGCTACACATTGAATTGTTAGGGTTTTTCTCCACCACAGCTGCACATTTACATTTTATGCCAACTAATTGCCTACTTACAGGTTCAATTTTCAGGGCGTTTCTGTAGCTCCCAAAGAAAGCTGCTTGTGCTTTTAGAAACGCTCTTGCAACACCATCTCCAGTGGTTGTAGAGACTTTCTTCAATCTGTTCTTCAGTGCAGAAACCTGAAATCACACAGCAGGTCTAGATCACTCTAATATCACAAACAAAGAGCAACACATTGGGGCACAGCTAAATGAAAAATGTGCTAACCACAGCAGCAGTTATGACAAAAGGTGACATTGTGAATTCAGAGATGAATTTTTCACTTCTAAGAGCATTACTTTTCAAGCTGTTTTGCTTCTCTAAGAAATGTTTGGATTCTATTCAGAAACCAATAGGATACCAAAAGCTTCACTGAACCTTCCCTCCTAGTTAAAATCCACGGTTAACGTGCTGTTGAGTACTCTTTTAAAGGTAGTCTATAAAACTGTGTCACTCTTGATTAGAATCCATGAAACAATTGCAACTAAATTAATTCAAACATCAGATTAGTAAGAGAAGCTGCTCCACACAACCAGGCCATCCATCACCACCAAGGCTAGGAACAAATCCCGAAGGTCTGAAAAATCTATTTGCCACAAATACAAGGGGTTTTTAAGGTTCTATTCCCTCACATTTCAGAGCCTGAACGGGCAGAGACCCGGCAGGGCTGCGCTCCTGGCTGTGCGGTACCCTCAGCAGCACTCCGGGTACTCCGGAGCCCGGCCCAGCCGCCGTGCCGCTGTCCCCCAGCAGCACGGGGGGAAACGCACACCAGGCTCGGGGGTCAAGGAGATGTGTACCCGTGAGCCACAGTCTCGGATGTGAAATATTAATTTAATGTGTTAGCAGTTAAAATACAGTCAGATAGTGAGAAACAAAGACAGAAACTTAAACACCTTCCCCGGCCGCTGCCTTTCACCGGCCCAACTCCCCGCCCAACCCCGCCTCCCCTCCTCTGATGTCAGTCCCGACAGCTCCTCCCGCAGCTCCTGACACTTTTCCTCTCTTGTAATTTGGAGCTTTTTGCCCGTTCTCACACATTTTTGGAGTTGTTTGCCGAGGGCTCGGTTGTGCCCGGGATCCGCTGTGTCCTGCCCCGGCCGCCCCTCAGAATTCCCTCACGGCCCCTCGTGGCTCCCTCACGGCCCCTCATGGTTCCCTCACAGCCCCTCAGGATTCCCTCACGGCTCCCTCACGGCCCCTCAGGACTCCCTCACGGCCCCTCACGGCTCCCTCACAGCCTCTGGCGCCGCAGACAGAACCGGGACACGCTGAGGCTCAGATCACACACAACACAGAGCAAGACAACCCCAAATACCCCGGGCGCTGGTTCTGGAAAGGAATTCAGGTGGTTCTTTTAGAGGCCTTGGCCACGCCACGGGCAAATCCCTAGTTTAGTGAGCTACCTGACACAGAGAACAGGCAGGAGCTGCAGTTTCAGGGGGAAAATGGAACGCAGGAAATCCCTAGTTAACCCGCTTTGCAGGAGAACACGACTGACTCTATAAATATCCATATGATGAATTTAACAGAAAGAGCCAATAACTAGCAAATATTCCTTCTCCAAATGCCATACTGAAAATCTCCATGGGGTAGCTCTGCGTACTTCATTCCCACTATGCAAGAAACACTGCAGGAATATTATTGACAGAGTGAGCAGCTCCTCTAACTAACTGTTTTTGGAGAATATGAATTACACCTCATAATGGTTTAAATATTCAAATTAACTTTCAAGACCTTCTTCCCATCCTCCAGCTCCCAGCAAAAGCTTGCCGTGGCCTCATCCGCATCTCCAAAATCCTACCAGATGAGTTGAATGTTCTCAGCCTTGGGTGCTGCCACCAGCGTGCTCGGTCGCCCAGAGCAGCCTGACTTTCCTGAACTGCTGGTGAGTGCCTCAGCTCATCCCTCCCGCAGCACATCCCCAGCTCAGCTTCCCCCTCAGCAGCCCTGGCTTTGGGGGTGACTCCTTGTCCTGCTCCAGAGGTGCTAATACAGAGTCCATGCTGGGCACTACTCACTTTTCTGTTAGATGTTATCTCTGCGCTTGTGTTTACTAAAACAGTTGCAAGGACATTTCCTTTAAAATCTTCTGCAGATTCTGCTGTAAAAGGCGTTTCATTATTTAGCATAACAGAAATAACCAAGAGCGTGTCCAGCACTGTTTATAAATCTGAATGCTTATGCCAATGATCCACGCATTAATGAGCCCACAAACCCATATTAACATAACACATGATACCAGATTTAGTCTGAAGCCTGTAAAATAAGCTGACTCCTATTCAGTGAAATAACGTTCCTCAAGGAGTTCTGTAATCCTCTAAATATAAAAGCTTCACCAGATTTTCAAACCCAAACAGCATACTTCATGTTTGAAGGGGTCTAGACTTGTAAGGTTGAAATATGCTTTTATTTTCTATATTAAGTTATATAAACCATTTAAAGGTAGTTCTTAAAAGTATAATAAAATATCCAGAGCTCTGAGAAGCTTTCAAATCCACCTCCAACATTTTTATAAGGGGTTTTCTGTAAACATTCATGTGAAGATACAAAACCTTCCATCTATATAGAAGGTAAAAGCCCTATGCTTTGTTTTAAACAAACCAGGAATTCAGAGGGCTGGTCACAGCCTTTCTGTACTTCAGCTCCCCTGCCCGGGACAGAAGCAGAATATTGGCTGGTATTTTGCTACTTCCTTGAACACTATAGGGTGTCTATTTTATACATATGTGGGATTACTGCAATAGGCATGTCAATTAAAAAAAAAAGTTAACAGCACATTTAAATATACTAACAAGTAGCAAAAAAATCCACCCCAAAACACCCTCATGTGTACTGTTTGGAAAAAATTAGTATGTAATACAAAGTAGACTATACAAGCAGAATTAGGGTTGTTTCTTGCCTAAAGAGACAGTGATACTTTAAAAAAAACCTCAAAATGAGGATTCACTGAAAATAAGGATTATTTCTAGCCAAACAGACACATATACATGCAGTCTACCCTGAGAGTGTTTTTAAAGAAGATTTTTATACTTCTGGCAGTTGAAGTTTAAAGGTCCAATTTCAACTCTCACCATGTTTCAGAATGCAATCTGTGCAATGCAGCAGAATGAAATGGTTCAGTAAAGGTGCTAGTGGAAATTCTTTTAATTAGGTCCAAGGCTTTTCAGTTGTCAACATGAATAAAGCAAGAAATGTTCTACTGCAAACACAGCATAAGAAATAAAAACGGATTCACCTTTAGGAAAATGCTTTGGCCACAGAGGTGCAGTTTGGAACTCCTGGCTGCCCTGGAGCAGCTCATTCCCTGTGGCTCCCTCGCCAGGGGCTCGCTGGGGAGAGGCACAGGAGCCCCCAGCTGAGCCTGGGACTCACAGAGGCCCCAGTTAGCAACAACCACGAGCTGACAGAGCAAGCTTACACTTTATTCCTTCTAACGTGGGGCTCTGACTACAACTATGACTAGAAGATGACACTTATTTGGAAATACATGAAAAATCCATACGGGTTGCATAAAAAAAAGAAAAATTCCTACCCCCTCTTTGCTATTCGTTGCAACACAGACGGTGGTGTAGGAGACTTGTCAGCAGCAGATGCACTTATTGTAATCACAGTCCTTAATAAATCTCTTTTTTTAATATTGATTATTTTAAAAGGAAAGTTACTTCCCAGGGTGCTCTCATGCTGCCAGATTTCCAGCAATACATCAGAAGCAGAAGGTGAAGAAGGGGCAGGTTTTCACGTTGCAAATAGTTAATCAGTAACACAGTAGTACAACTCTTGATTTTCAGGGACATGACCTGACCACTTCAGAAGCCTGACAGCCAGCAGGTACTGCTGAGGTAAACTGGGGCAAAGGAACAACTTGAGCTGACTCTGCTGGAACTGCCTCAATTCTGTCCAGCTCCTCTGACACAAATTCCAACTGGAAAGACCTTTCCACTGGGTCCTATATTTGTTTGGATCCTAAGAATTAAACAATAAAGAACAGTTTATTCTTGATTTCCAAGAACCAGTTGAGGTAGCAACATCACTATCATGAAACTCAAGAACAACTCACTACCTGAGGATCTAAAATAATCATAAGACGTCATTCACTTGATCTAAAAAGCAGTTCAAGGAGAGAAGGAAAACAGCTTTTGGAAATTTTCCACTGGATTAATTACCTGATGGTGAATGCACCACAGAGAAGATGTTTTTGCTCACTGATGAATATAGATAGATTTAATTTAGCAAAGTAAATTTTGTCTATTCAGCAGTGCATGAATTGCTCACTGCTCACATTAAGTAGCAAAACTGGCAGAATAGTTTGACATAACAGGCATTTATGATCAGGAAACTCTTGAAGACATTTTTAGTTTCTCAGATCATAAATGCATCTACTTAGACTAAGACCAGTGGGGAAACACACTCCCAAAATCTCCCAGGGAAGCAAAAAGGAAAAAAAAGCAAAAAAAAAAAAGTATAATGGATTGGCTTTAGCATTTCCCTGCTGAGATGAACAACTTGATCCACTTACAGTTCCAAACACATGATGCATGAAAGAACTGACAGAAATTCAATTCTTGCACAGCAGAGCAGCTGCTCTCTAGTGGTCAAAGCCAACTCTGGAGCCGTGTGAAGGGAGAGGCCTGGAGGAGGAGCTGCTTCAGCCAGGTAACTGCAGCCACAGCTAAATCCCACACAAACCCCCAGCCCAAACATTAATTACACAACGCAACACGACTCGACTTAAAGCTTTGTTGTGAAAAACATTAATCCCAGCTGTATTTATATAGCAGTTGTGAAAAAAAATACCCCGTATATGCTACTGGTGAGCCCTGCCAGTTAATTGAATTTGCTGGCAGCACTTCCTCTGCTCTGCTCTCAACATCCTCCGAGATAAAAATGGAGCTCTTAAATAGACCTGTGGAAAACTGAATCAAGAAATTTGAACTAATAAAACACAACTCTTTACTGTTATAAAAGTGAAGTAAAAGTAAATAATGAAAGGAAGGAAGTCTCTTAAAATTTATTACATTCCAAAGCTTGAAGTTCTGCGTTTATTGGAGAAGTCTCTTCTGATGTTCTACAGTGTGCCCACAACAGCTCCTTTAATGAAGTCTCATAAAATCTAATATAATACTTGATTGTTGACAAATCATATACATGTTTGAGGCCCCGTGCTCCCTGTTCCCAGACATTTCTTACATAATTCCATGAAATTCACAAGTCTGTCATTCCCGGGTTGTGGATAATGGCACAAGCAGCAGTGACCAGCTGGCAGATTTGGATGCTGGGAGTGAAATCAAAATGAAAAACTATAGAATGCCAGAAAAAATAATGGAATCAACTTTTACAGACTGAATGCTTGACTAAAGCCAAAATGTTCACAATCAAGATGGCCCTTCCCTCCTGAGCTCCCTGTTTTTGAAGAAGGGATCCCGTTGGGATGCCAGGGTGTCACAGCAGGAGGCACTGGGCATTCACCCTCCCTGCAGCTTCTCCTCACACACCACTTACACTGAGCTCCCTGCACATCAATTCTATTTCTCAACTGCACAGAAAAATGTTCAGATCTGACTGTCAGCACAATATTCCCAACTAGCAAAGGAAATCCAGGTTTTCCCCTGCCACCTTGTCCTAAACATTCACTCTCTGCCTTGAAAACAGCTCCTGACACTCTCACTCCTCTGCTCTCCCCTCTCAGCTCCTTCAGTGGAGATGACTGCAGCAGTAAGTGGGATGTCTTTGCATCCCATTACATGTCAAGTACTTATACACCATTGCTATCAAGTTATTAAAAACATGAAATAATTTACCAATAAAAACGGTGAATGAGAAAGAAAAAGAGTTCTGAATTCTAGCAGTGATTGAGGTGAATGTGAAGGCATCCATTTCATATCTCAGGATAGAAAATGCAAGAAATTCCTTAAAGCTCACCTGGCAGCAGTCACAGGAAAAAAACTCACACGATTTCATTTGGAAACAACACTTAACTAAAGATGCAGGATTTCTAGCTCACGTGAGCATTGGCTGATTTTCACTGGGAGGCTTCAATGCACGTCTGTAAATGTTGAAACAAACATTCCCAAACACTCTGGGACAGCAAGAGCTGAGGGAAAGCAGCTCAGTGCTACGAGTGAGAGCTGCCAGTGAGCCCCCTGGGTGGCAGCCAGCAGGAGCTGAAGCCTTGGATGGGTCACTCCATACATACCACATCATTGGGGAGGCTCTGAAGGTCATCAAAAGGGGTTTCCAGTGTGTTGGTGTCTACGTTAAGGATCACCACATCTTCCAGGGCCATGCTTCTTACTTTCTACATGTGAGCAAATTCAGGAAAAGGGAAAGGAAAATGTAAGTATGGGAAATTAAATTTTATGCATAAAGGACACAAGTGATGGCAGAACAACATGGGACTACAGAACCACAACCATTTTAAAAACAATCAATATTCCCGCCTTCATCATCATTGGTTTTATTTATTCAGTTTACAATGCAAAAAAAATTAACCTTCAGTTGGCAGACAGAAGTTCTTAGCAACATGCACACTGAAATTTGTCAGACCAGAGGGTCTGTGATTATTCAAGCAAAGACTTATTTCAAGCACCTCTACTAATGTTTGTCGTGGTGTCCTATTTGCACATTTAACAGTTTCCAGTCAAGTCAGGATTTCAAGCAAATCTTTTTATATTTGGAAATTCATTTAAATAACAATAGAGTGGATTTTCCAGGAGTTGAGAGTTGCATTAAGTCAGGGATGGGAACTGGTTTCCAAATTTCAGGTTGAATTTTGGAAGTCTAATAAAGACAAGTCTGCAACTGCATTTAAGTAAAGTGGATCCTATGAGAGCCTAATCAGTAAATAATTGAAATGGGGGGAAAAAAAACAAAGCTAAGAGAAATTTAATTCCACCATATCCTGGTCAGCAAGTCTGAACTTTCTCTTCTGTTCCCATGAATTGAGGGAAAGTTTCTGATCTAGTTTGAAGTTCACATCTTCTGTAACAGTACTTACTACACATTAAAGAGAAAAGAACAACCTATTTCTCAAAAGAATGATCATCAGTACCTGTGACTCTGAGTGTCTAAAGGTATCTGTGATCTAAGCAAATTTAAACACTGCCAGGCTTGATTTCCCTGCTTAATCAACAGTAAATGAGTCACTGATACCAAACAGAGCAGCATTTAAACACTTAACACTTCTTCCACTAACAGAGGACTTGATTTTTTTTTTTTTTACTGACTAATCACACAGGTTTAATCTCTTCAAATAAAGCTTTGAAAATTCCAAATCAGAAAAACTGGAATTATAGAATATGGTAATTGAGGAAATTTCCCAGTGACACTGTAAAAAATCTTTAAGTACCTACCTACCTACACGCAGGAGCAAATGAAAGTTACTGAGCAGGAAAATGAACAAAAACATACTCAATTTTTAATTAAGGTTTTGTGGGGTGGAGGGAATTGTTTCCTTTAAAAGAAAGGAACTCAAGTCCTAAAACAATGGCAAAGTTGAGCCTTAGGCAGCTAAATAATTACCCTCCGTTTTCAAGGCTCAGTCCTCTGTCTATAAAGCAAACTGCTGTGTACTTAGGGCTGAAAAAAACCCCAACAACCATAAAACCCACTTTGCAGACATTTAAGTTCAGGTCTTCATGGGACATTTCTTCAGCTCAAATAGAAGAGTATTACATTTAATGCTTTCCATATAAAGAGCCCAGCACGGCCTGCCAAGCCAGGTACTTTGCGTGCAGGAACCAAAGGTCACCGCGCTGGCTGCATCTGATAAACTCTAAAGCAACCCAGGAGCCTCGCTCCTTCTGGGAGTCCGGAAGCACCAGACAAACTGATTGCTCCTTCCTGCTTCAGAAAATTAAAAATCTCACTTATACTCAGAGGAGTCTAAAAACCCCCAACAAAAAGGTCTTGCAAAGTACTTAACCAAAGCCAGAAGCTTGTCAGCCGCAGCGCTGGCAGGACAAGACAGGAGGAAGGAAACCCCGCTCCTGCTCGCTGCCGAAGAAGCAGCACAGGCGTGGTGAACGTGCCGGGGGTTTCTGTCCCTCTGCTGCTGCATCTGCACCTCCTCTGCAGCCAAACGTGGAGCACACAACAGGCTTGTGCCAGGCAGGGCTCAGCCAGGGGGATGACCCAGAAGGATGCCCCATGGTACAGGGACTGGAAATGCTCAAAGTGACCACCCCACACCTGGCCCAGGAATCATCATACCCAAAAGGAAGCTGATAAACTCTGCACCACCAAGAGCTCAACCTCACTGGAAAGATTTGCAATATTTGTACAAAGGCAGTGGATTTCCCTTGAGACCAGCCCTCAGATTTAATAAAACACTGGAGACTGACTTGATTAATAGCATCTCTCTTGCAATGGATTCAAACATATAATTTTTTGATGGTCCGATTGTGGCTCATTCTACAGAAATACAGACTGACCAGTTGATCCTAATCCTTAGTTGGTTTTGTCATCTCTCCTGCCACTACCACCTTTGATAAAGCTAGTATCAGGCAGTTATAAGGGCTTTTGATAAATAATAACATGCTTCTTTCACTAAACCTGGCACCTAATCAGCCCAACCAACATGGAAATCACAGTATTTACTCTCTTGTTGGAATTTGAGCAAAAATTCCCATCATTCAGCAGCAATTCTCACATTGAACCCCACTGGATTCTGTGAATCACAAAAACACGTAGGTCATTTTCCCCACACATAGTTTGTGTGCTGTCACAATTTTCAGAAATGGGAAGGGACAGCCACAAGCCACACACAGCCCCAGTCCATATTTCACAACTTCCTGAAGAGCTAAACAAAGTTTTACAAGTGATACCTGTGCAACAGACTGGGCTGTATTCAGTAGGTCCATATTTTGCTGAAAAGAAATGTGGATAAGCAAGGACCAAGAGGAAATATGAACATTACAGACTCCTTATCTCATTTTCCCAAAGGTCAGGGATGTACTGAGTCAAAAGGAGAGATTCAGAGAAAATGTGCATCACATCTCACTCCTGCAAACCTTTCCTAGCCATCCTTGCCCAATTACTCGTAGCCATAATTAATCACCTAAAATCCATCTAAATCAAACTAACATCTACACCTGCCTTTTATTTTAAATGTCTCTTTTTAAAAGAGTGGAGAGGTATGGAAAGCTGGTTTAACAAGCACACTGAACCCATTGTTTATGGCCTCTATAAACATGGCTTAGTAAGAATTACTGACTTAATCAGAGAGAACTTATCTCCTGGTGAAAAGAGCACTTTAAATTTCAGAAATGGCACCTTTACTGTGAAAATCTCTTAACTTTTCAAACAAACTCCGGGGGGCCTTAAACACCAGGTCCGTAAATAAGCACAGCCCGGGTGCCTGCCCTGCTCACAGACAGCCAAACACTTGAGTCATTTAAATGTTTTATGTGGAAGTTCACAAAAACACAGAAAACATATTCTAATAGAAGAATGAAGGGGTGCTCCTCCGTCCCACTCTGGAAGCAGTATTCATCCATAACAGAAACACCAGTTTACTAAATGCTATTTTATCTGCCCTGGCTACACTTGGCAGGTTCTGCTTCTTCTGCCATAAAGGAATCCCAAGTTAAACTTCTTTCAGGTGAACAATTTTATTGAATAGTTTAATTTAAAACAAAACGAGAAAGCCTCCATAACCATCAAACACCAGCAGCCCTGCCTTCCCTCCCACAAACCAGGTTTGCGTAACTTCACGGCTAAATTGCTGCCAAAACATAAACCAAGCTGATCACGAGGTTTTATAACCAGATACAAACGTGATCAGCATCTTAAAAATGTTGTAACAGTAAAAGGGTGATATCTTCCACCAATTCTTTTGGAATGGCTGAACTCCTAACAAAAACTAGCATTCTAGCAAGCCTGTGCACTAAGTCTGAAATTGTTAAGAAAGTATGATTCACAACAAGTCTAAAATCCATTTGCTTAATGACTTGTCTCTACTGAATTAATAGTTTCCATTTATTTTCTTAAGGAAAACACCACAACGCTGCAGACAACAATGTGTCAATCTGGCTGCCAGAAGCAGGAAAGGCAGCGGATATAAAATTTTATTATTTCATGCCCCAAGAGCAGCCAGAAGGACTTAATGAAATCACGGCCAGATTTACAATCTGAAATGGCTATTCAGCAGACAGCTCTGCTTAAGCGGGATGTGCCCCCTGACCCCGGGGCCCTTTGATCGGGGCACAGCAGGTGGGCTGCCCCCCCAGCCCATCTCCCACCCTTCCGCCCGGCACCCCGAGCCCCTACAGGTGATTCCCCAGATCCTTATCACAAGCAGCTGTTGCCAACTGAGTGACAAACTGCACCCGTGCTGGCACGCCAGAAAATCCTCTCTGCTCCTGGGGAAGCCTGCTTGGTACTGCAGGGCTTGGCTTCTGAGAACTCACCCCCAGACATGCCCCCAGAACCCCTCATTAAAACATGGCTCTTATTTCTGTTTCCCCAATAACTAGATAAAAGACAATTCCATAAGTAACCTGCCTTATTTTAAGTGCATTTTTATCAATATTCCTGAAACCATGTACAGCCATATTGGGAATATTTGTGAGTGGCTAAACTGCATTTAGGGGTTTAAGACCTGGATTTAAGTTAATCTATAACCCTTCATTAAAATCCAATGGAAAAGCTGCACTTCCTCAGTTACAGGTAGAAAAAACATTGATTTACTAAGTATAAATGGGTGGGAAAAGCTAATTAACGCTTCTCACCCCAATCAAAAATATAATTAACAATTAACAGTACCAGTGGCAGATGCCAGTGGTCAATGAATTCTCAGGGTGTGTTCTGGGAAGGGGACCCCCATGGCAGGGGCAGGCCTGAGCCCAAGCTCACAGAAGCCGTGCTCAGGGCTCGTTAGCTCAGACCCAGTGCACACTAATTGGGCTGTGGTCACACTGGATCCCGAGCAGGGCATCCTCACCCCGAACAGGAGCAGGGGAATGTGCCAAGAAGTGCTCCCCAAAAGCCTGTGGGGGGTTCTGAGAGCCCCAGCTCCACTCCCCTGGCTGCACAGGAGACATTGCTGACACCAGGTGAGATCAGCCTCCGTGTCCTACCACGAGCCACACAACAGCAATTTCACTGAGCATTGCTTTCCTCACAGGAACATTTTTACTGATATCGGGTTGAAGTAAAACAAAAATCTACTCATATAGCTTTTATGATATATACCAGTGTCCTCTTTCCTTAGGAAAAAGGTTAGAAGAACATTCTGAAATGCAGTGTGTAGTTTCACACACAAATTCTGGATAATCTTGTAAGAATTACAGTTCTGAAGTCCCAGAAAAAGTTCTTGAATAACTGGACTATTAATAAAAAATATATAAAATATTTTTCCAGTGCTAATTCTAACCCTACATGCTGTGTCTGTGCCCCAGCAGAGCAGGAACGGGTGGGTGTTCCCTGAGTGGTCCCGGCACGCTGCAGTCGGCAGAGCTCAGAGCTCAGAGCCCAGCACAGCCATCCCCAGCACTCAATCCAAACCACATGTGCCCGAATTCCAGAGGGAGCTCCTAGGTCAAGGGCACTCCCCCTCCATCAGCACCATCACACTGATAACCTTCCTCCACAAACACTTGCAGAAACAATCGTTTTCTCTGACAAAATGTAAAGGGCTGCAACCAAGTTGGACACAGCTTCCGACACACAGGGCAGTTTTATACATCTAAGACTAAAACAGCCCACAGTGCACAGGCACAAAAAAGATAGTGAAAGGGGTGTGTTCTTCTGATAGAGTTTCATTTTCCTATCTCGTTATTTATCACTACTAAGTACTTATCTTCATCTAATATGAATTCAATTAGTTCCATAAGCATGTTCCATTATTCATGTGATAGCTCCAGCCTTGCTTATCCAACAGCTTATAAACTTTTAGCCTTCTTTGAAGTCACTTTATGGATTGCTAAATGGAAATCTTATAAAGAATGACTAACTAGGTGATGATAGAAAAGCTGAAAAATAAGAGCACAAAACACAGCTCTGTATTTTCTACCAAGGTTTCCCCCATAAATCAGTTGGAGCCCTCTGACCTATAACAGGAGATTATCTTATCTCACTGGAGAACATTTCAGTCACAGCAAATTAGATTTAACAGTCAATGGATAGGCTTGATATTTTAATCATAAGAAAAATTTGTCATTTTCCATTAAAATAACTGTTCCTTCTACAGAGCCCCCGTGGAACACAATAAACTGCAAACTAACTTTAAGGTACCAAACAGTTCAGGACAGATCTGTCGAACTGAGAGAGGCTGGATTTTGTTTGAAGTCACCAACACTTCTGCTTCTTCCAGAGGCCCCGTTCCAACACTGGGATAGCAAACCCACAGAAACAAGACCAGAGGTAGAAAATAGTTGATTCCTGTATCCCAAATGCCATCTTGCCTTCCCTGGCAAGATGAGGCTGCCACTGGTGCTGGCACAAGGACAAACCCAAGGATGGGAGGCGCTGGGGCAGAGGCTGAGCCCAGACCCACCTGCAGCACTCTGGGCTCCACACCAGGGCAGGGGCCCACCTGCCCCAGGCACAGGACAGGCCTGGGACGAGCCCCTTGTCCTGGCACTGGAACGTGTGCATTAACAGAACACTTCTACAGTCCTACTGGTGAAACCTCAGCACTTAGAGAAAAGGAATACTGAAGTATTCCTTCAGTAGTTTGTAGTTCTAGTATACAGTAGTTTGTAGTTCTAGTTCATAAAATTATTTTGGTGTGGAAAAGATAATATACTTTTAAAGAAACACAATTGACAGGTCATGAGAAAAAGAACTGAGCTGTTGCAACTACAATGTTATTCTAAAGAAAAAGACCACACAACTTTACATATGAAGGAAGGGACAAATAGAGTGAGCATTCAGCACCACAAAGTAGAGGCAACCTAGGAAGTGTCCAGCTCATGTGACAAATGTCACCTTCCCTTGCCCAGGGCACAAAAATTCTGCAGCACTTGCCACCAGACAGATCCAGCAGCCACTGTGGAATTTCATGTTATTTTTCAATGGAAAAAGCAGAGTTAGCTGCAAGATGCAGTTCTGTCTGTAACTGAATTTATCCGTAAGAGCAGAGAAAACAGTTTGGTTTATTTATTTCATTTATTTGATAAGGCACTTTGAATAACTGTACTTTGCCAAAGCGTGTCTGTGTTCCAGAATCTCTGGCTATTCAAAAGCCAGACTGGATTTAGTACTAAACAGATTTTTTCACAAGTTACTAAAATGGATGAAAATTGGCTTCTCCAAGAGCAACTCCTTTTTCTGAGTTTTTACAGATGGAGTTTGGAAGGCCCACAGAGCCCTGCAGTCTGAAACACGGAGACAAAGGAAGAGGCAATGGATTTCTGGAGCAAGGCAGGAGTGAGACATCACACAAAGCAACTCCAAGGTGTAATTATTAAATTTCTTTTCTACATCCATTCCCAGGCCAACCACAGAGCTCGCTGTGAGCACAAGTATCTATGAAAGCTGCCAAGTGTGTGCATGCAGATATTCTGCCAGCCCCTACCAGCTCCCTTCCATCTTTTACAGATACCACAATAATCACACCAGTGATTGCCTGGGATGGCTGTGGGGCAGAAAGTTTGATCTATATGAAGAACACATTTCTTCCTAGATGTTCCCACACTCCTGCCTGTGCAGTATCCAAGGGTGATTATGAGGAACCCCTTGAACAGAAGCATATGATGTGCAAACAAAAGTATGTGTTGACTTTTTAACCAACTGGTTATTCACAAACACACTGGACTGCAATTCTTTACCTAGTTTAGCAGTATAAAGGGCATAAAAAATCACCTGTACCCAGGATGCTAAGAAGAAAAAAGACATCCTGTACATTTAATCTATCTTTTCATGAAAAAACTGCCTTCTAAAATTACCTCCCATTAATGCTGGAAAAGGGGGGATATTACACAGCACACACAAACACACAGAGCATCATTATTACACACATTTGCCCTAGTGAAAGAATATTAACCAATATTTCCAGAAATGACACCTTGTTATGTTCAATACAAGAAGAATTCCTTTATGTGATGTAAACCCCAGCTCTCCAGACTGTTCTGTACCCTGAACAGGAAGGCTCCATTTGCACACACAGGATCTGAACCAGAACACAGGGCCACTCATGGCAGGGGCAGGTGCAGACCCAGCTCTCCAGCCCTGCCCAGGAGGCCGGGTTCCCTGGACAGGAATGCCTCTCCCCACCCAGCACTCCTGGGCCAGGGGCACAGTCAGGGAGGATCAGGATTTCACAGGCACCTTAAGTCAGCACCTTTTGTTGTCCCCCAGATACTTTTGAGGAAAGTCATCCACAGTTTCACCAGTACTGGAAGCAAAAGCAAATGTGCTATTTCCACTTTTAGAGGTTTTTTTTTTTAAAGTCACATGAATTACTGGGAATTGTTTATAGGAGAAGCTTTCTGTGAGGGCTGGTGCTCTGCCAGCTTTGTGTTAACATTAACTGCAAGTTCCTTCTTTTCAGATCTTTTGAACATTTAAAAAATTACAATCTGTCTGCAAAAGCCTAAAAGAGAACTGTAACTGTCAACATTGTGGTTTAATATCGACTGTGCCTTTGTGCTTGGGTCCAAGCAAGGCACTGAAGTGATTAAATGAAGGCCCAGGGCGGGGAGGGGAGCACGACGTGAGCTCGTCACCGCCGGGCTTGGGAATCTGCCCAAGGAGCACGGGAGCAACCCAGGCCCCTGAGCATCAACTGATCCTGTGTGCCTCCCTCCATTCCCCAGCACTCCCAAATGAACAGGGGAGTGCACTTCTAAGCATATGAATGAAGTGGCATTGCCTGCAGAATCTGGCTCTCCATCATAGCACTAGATATAGTTTCAGAAATGGTGAGAGAGACTTACCTCCATCAAACTTAAGTGTATTCCAATGAGGTAGGGCATGGGGGCACTGTGGAGAGGAAAAGAAACACAGCTTTACATCCTCGTAACCCTGAAAAACACACGTGACTTATAAAATCAGCTACAGCAAAACACTGGGATACTGGGTTAGGTTCTGCTTAAAAAATAACAGATAACGTATATACAAACAAATCACATGTGAACAAAGTGTCAGTCCATATTTGAAATACGTTTTTTACTATGCAATAGTCTCCCACTCCTGCAAGACTTCACTTTTTCTTGTCAACAGAATTGCTAAGTGATTAAGTTTAGGCAGGTATCTAAGGACAGCTATTAAACATGGGGTCTTTTGTTGGAAATCCAACAAAATGTGTTATTGCAATTTTAAAAGCATACACAGACTTTTCCAACAGTATTCTTTCAAAAACTGAACCCTGTTGTAGTGTCAAGTGGTCAACTTAACGTATACACATCACCCAGTAGTACAAGTTTTGAATTCTTTGAATGAGTCCAAACACATTTTTAAGTCATTTACTTTTAAGTATAAATCTTGACATGTTTTCATTTCTAAAAGAAAATATAAAAAATACTTTTGAAGATCCTGATAAACTCCAGAGTTCCTGGGACATCTGCTGATACCAATATTCCCCTCAGGACACAAGACTTAAATAGCCCAGAGGCTCAGGCCAGGCTTTAGCCTCGGACACAGGCGTGACGCCTTTGTTAGCCCCAGTGTTCAAGGGGAGACTGATCTTCTGCATGTCCCTCCCCTGATGTGGGCAAACCCCAAGGAGCAGCAGAGCCCGGGTGGGAGCTGCCTCTCGTGTCCAGGGTTTCCAGTGCCGAGCTGCCTGCAGCCTCCCCCTCGCAATCAGAGCCATCAGCGAGGCTGCCAGAGCTGCTAATTGCAAATATGGCACATCCTGCCTGCGAAACGCAGCGCACACAGACAGACACAACTTCTAAAATAGAGCCTCGGCTCGCTTTGGATGCAGAAGCTCAAAGAGCTCATTTTCAATTTCAGATGAAAAAATGAGAGAAATGTCACTGTACTGCCTTGGATTAAAATATCTCCCATATTGCTGCTCTAAGCTGGTGCCTACTGCTCAGTAAGAGCAGTACAGCACTGAAAAAGCTCCTGAGACACCAGGCCAGCAAAAATCCCTGCTTCTCCTTTTCCTGAGAAATACCTTAAAAAATATATTTACTGATAAGCATATTAATATTTATGTTTATTAATACACCCCCTCAAACCACCACACTGTAGGATGCTCTCCCGAGGTGGAAACAGCCCCCGCAGTAGAAATTCCATGTGAAACCATTTTTTTTCCTTTCTGAGACATGAAACACATACAACTTGCACAACCCCTTCCCAGTTCACTGGCAGAACATTCCAGCGCCTTGTCCTGTCACTGCAGTGAGTGCACCCCCACAGCCCCTTGGGGCAGAGCCCAGAGGGGCTCTACAGCACAGAACCATCCCAAAGGCTCTGCTTGCTGGGAATCCCTCAGGTGCCAGCTGAACACAGCCCAGGTGTGGGGCAGAAGGTGTGACTGCTCCCTGGGCACTCGCTGCCACACGAGGGCTGCTCAGCCCAGCTCTGCTTTGGCATGGCACGTCTGACTTGTGCAAATGCCATCTCTTCAGCTCCAGCGGCCACAGCTCAGGAGCAGGGGAACAGGGAACAGGCAGGAATTTTACACGGGGAGATGAAGCAGTGCTGTGGCTCGGGCTGCCCCGGCCCCTCGGTGCCACCGCCACCAATGTGGTTCCAATTAAGGACTTCCAGCAAGGCCACAGCTTCAATCCCCACCGCACAAAGTCGGAACCTCGGCAGGAAGTCTTAACCCTGCAAATGTCTCATCTAGTGGAACCTGGGCTCGTGTAATGAAAGGAAACAGGAAGAGTGCACTATTCCTGAAAGCCAGCCATTTATTAACATCTCCAAACGTGGCAAGGGAAGATATGGCTCAAGATACATGGATCAGCTTTGGATGCAAAGGCTCATCTTTTCCATTTTGAAGTGACAAACATTACATATGACAGCAATACAGCACATAAAATAATTACAGGGACTGCATAAATAACCTCAATAAAATGTAATTCTGGTAAAGAGCATAAATATTTCCAATAAAATCTACCAGAGAGATTCTGTGCTTCCATCATCACTCATCAATATGACTGAATAGGAAACACACTTAGAAATAAATGCCCCAAGTTCATGTCAGGCTTCATAAATTGTTTTTATCACCATTTCTCTTGACCATGAGTTAATAAAAGGCCATTATTTAAGCCGACCTTTAGCATCCTGTGCAGGGGAATGTGGTGTGTCCCCCCTTCCCCACCCAGGGCACTCTGAAACTGTCCTTCCTCACTGCCATTCAGGTCCCGAGACGTGGAACACTCCAGCAGTTTTTAATATTTTATCAGGGTAGATTTGTACTTGCAAGACTTCCAAGCGAAGTTCAGCAAGAAGCATCCCTTGTATAAAGGGCAGAAACACTCGGCACAACCTTTAATCCTTCTGGGAGCCCTGGCAGATTAAAGACTGCCCTTCAGAGCAGGCCTTCCCCACGGCTTGACACTTCATCAGTCCTGGGGCTTCTTACAGCCACAACTACTAATTACTCAAAGTTGTTTGCTGGCAGCCAATAGCCATTAAGTGCAAAATTAAGAAGTATCAGTTTCTACCACATGTATTTACTGCTCAAACAAAGTGCCTGCGTGAGCCTTTTGGAACAAAGAGAGGGGTCATTACTCCTCTTGTGCTAGGCTGGCTCCCAAGGCAATCGGCCTTATTTATAATCACATGAGTTATATAGGTAAATATCAAATCATTAAAGTAGCAATGCAGAAGCATGAATATGGATTTTGGGGACATAATGGCTATATATTGCCCATTTATTACAGTTGCATTTTTACAATTTCTTTAATTCGTTTCCTTAGGCAAACTAGAGACCTCTTAATTATGCTCCCAAGAGGTGGGCAACTACTAATTGGAAGAGAAGCAGGTGAAATAGAGGGACATTTCTTCTTAAGTGAAAAAAGCCCAGCCTTAAAAAACACTGCAATTCACCAGGAAAGTAATGTAAAAGCCCAAGGATCTCCAAAAGGCTCCTATTTACAGCTACGCAGGGATTTCACCATTTTGCCTCACTGTTCCAGGAGAATGGATGAGAGCACATTTACCACATTCATGTCCTGCTCTGCAAACATTGACTTAACGGGTGCCTGTCTCCACAAACCTGGTACTTCCCTCTCCAGGGCAGCCTCCTGATTTCTCTTCACATTCCTCATTGAAATGCAACAGAATTCCACCCAAAATTTATTGGGGCAGTTGATGCAAATTAGGAACTTGACTGCATAAATTGGAACAAGGCAGGGAACACACAGCTGTCACCAGGAGAGCAGCCACAAGAGGCTGCAGTGAGTGCCCAGGTGTGCCAGGCTCAATGGCAATGAAGGCAGGGAACACACAGCTGAGAGAGCAGTGTCACCAGGAGAGCAGCCTGGTGACACTGACAACCACAAGAGGCTGCAGTGAGTGCCCAGGTGTGCCAGGCTCAATGGCAATGCCCACCCAGAGCTCCCCAGGCAGGAATTTTTGTTTCCCAGCAGCAGGAGGACTCCAGCTCCGCCTCCACCTACTCGAGGAGCACATTGACTATATGCAGATTTAGAAAATAGGAGAAAGGGGGTTAAAAAACCTCCTAGAGAAAGGGCAAACTGCCCCAACAGAAGCGTTTGTTCAGCAGCTGTGCCAGGGTGCTCTCAGAATTGATTCATGTTGGCTGCTAAGCTGTCTGTCTGATAGAAAAGACTGTTTGAATCACCCTACAAAATGTACTGTTTCTCCTGGTGACAAAGCTCTGGGGCTCAGCACACACTCAGCTGTGTCCCAGCTCAGCAGAGCAGGGCTTTTCTAAGGGCTCCCTTTAAACACAGACACTGAGAGCCAGAAGGAAACAAACAGTCACAGTGGGAGTGGGTTTATGGCACACAGAAAACAAAGTGGGAAAAGTAATGAGGAAAATTGATACACTGCTTCCTTCACATCACCAAATGTTTAAATTCCCAATGAAATGGATGGACAAGATCTAGCCAAATTCAAATAGTTGTACGTGCCTGACTGTCGATGCCTGGTGGCAGCACCTCACTAACCAGGACTTCTGGCACTGCTGGTGTGTGCTCTAAAGAAACAAAACCCAACCAAACAACCCCAAACCAGCCACCAGCAGAGCAGCTGTGCTTCTGTACTTCTCTCTTGATCTGTACTCAAAGGAACAAGCAATTGTGCATCAAGGTATGGTCTCCAGTGACAGTATTTCAGTTTCCCGCACCAAAAGTGTTTCCCTGGGCTGAAAATACATTAAAGAGCAGTGCCTAATTAAAAAATACAAATAAAGGATAGCACTCTATCCCTTGCTTCCCCCCCTGGCCCGTGTCCTCAACAATCCCCACGACAGGGATGAGGTGACTGAAGTCACTCCAGCCCCATGGAGGATCCAGCAGCACTGAGTCAGCATCCCCACTACAGAGCAAGAGCACTGAGAGCAAACGGGAGCCACAGCCTTTCAGCATTTTCAGTTCTGAGGGCAGGTACATCAGTGAGGAATGCAGGGAAACAGAAACATTAAGAAAACCCTTTCAAGAGGGAAATGGGAAGCAAAAGGCAAATAATCACAGGTGGAATATACTTTTTTCAAAAAACTTTCAAAGATCTCGAGTGACACACTCTATCCATCCTTCTGTGAGTTTCAAAAGAGCAGGAGAAGATTCAAAACATCACAGCAGAGTCAGAAATGAGCACAGCCAGCTGAATGAACAAGATATTCTGTATTCATAAGAACTGAAGAATTCTCATTGCTTTAAGTTTTGTTCCCATTTCAGCTCTCTAAAATTCTTATGTCATATTTGCAGAAGAAATAACCAGGCAATAATTAAAATTAAATGGAACTCTTCTATTTTAGATAATCTCAGGTCATTTCCCTTTAGAGGCAGACACCAGGAAGCAGAAATACTGCCTTAAAGCAGAGAGCTGATTGCTCTGTCCTCCCAGGCAAAAATGACATCTCCAAGTTCACAAAATAGATGGTGGACTGTGTTTTGGGAAATATTTTATGGCTCATAAATTGTTGCTAAATTGACTCAAACAATGACCGAGTGTGCCGCTACCTCTCCAATTAAAGTTCCATGCTGGGTAAGGAAATCAGTTGTTGCATTTGTGAGCTGCCTAACAGCTGTACATTCTGAAATCATTCTTTGCCCTCAGCCTGGCTCCCTCCTGCCCTGGCTGGGTGTTGGCCACCAAAGAGCCCTCAGTGATGCTCGGTGACTCCTGCCTTTCTCTCCTGCCCCAGGGTTTGCTTTCTCAGCCTCTGGGCGGGCCCCTGGCCCTGCCTTTGTCAGAAGTCCATGAATAACTGATCTGGAAGGCAAAGCCTTGGAGCAGCAGGTACCTGAGGGGAGCTGGGGCAGCCTCTCCAAGTGTTAATTACACGTGAGAAGCCCATTATCCAGGGAGAGGCACCTGCTGGCACTGCAAATGACTGGGACCTGCCCTTCCTGCCAGGGAGCCAGGCAAGGCTCATTTCCACAGGAGATAACTCTTTACATGCTGCTCAGTTCCTGACAGGCACACAGGACATTTAAATCAGCTGCACAGGAGCAAACTTCCTTTAAGCTGCACGGTTTGGTGTGCAGGCCTTCACTCACTGCTGGCTCCAGCTGGATCCCCAGGAGCAGCTCCCCTCACCTGAGCCTCGTGCGGGGCTGTGCTGAGGGGCACACACAGGGGGCACACGGATGCCTTACCAGCAGTAGTCCAGGAGATGTGGGGGCAGGACAGGAATGTAAACGTGCTGCCAGAACATGGGGTAGAGCATGGCTGCAGACCCGTGGATGCAGGCAGTTAACTGGAAAACACAGAAACCACAGCAGAAGTGAGATAAACCCCGAGCTTCAAGTGCTAAACTTGGAGGCAAGAAGGTAAAGAACCAATTCTGCTTTCCTCTCAATGCTTTATCAGAAAATACACAGCACTGCTGGCAAAAACAAGGGGCTCGGGGGGAGCAGGAGTGGCTGCCATCTGCCTTTGTGAACAGCTGAGAACACGATTCACTCAACAAACCCAACCTGCAAAGAACACCCAGCACTGGATAAAGCAGCAGAAACATGGAAATGAAAACACAAAGGGAAAAAGAAATAGTAATGGCAAAAGTCCCAAACCTGGAAATTACCATCCATTAAACACCATAAAACTGCTCTGAAACTGTAACACCAACTGAAAAAGACATGACATGCATTTCTTAAAAACACAGTACACTAAACTCAGTGATTAAATCTTGATGAATTAAAAGGGAATTTTATCGAATTAGCCTTCAGCTAATCATTTGATCCATTTAATTTATCAGTTATATTGTTAAAACTCACACAGAAGAGTTTTGGTGTGACAGGCACTGAAATAGCAAAGGCAAGTGCCAGTGAAGCCATGGGGAGAATCCTTACAGAGGAAATTACTGCTCTCAATCCTATTTCAAACAATAACTATTAATTTGGAGAAGAAGATGAGCAGGATATTTGTCACATTCACTAAGGATATTAATATGGAGCAGGTGGTAATGCTCAATAAGCCAATCTCAGCAAAAGCTATAGGCAAAATACTGTAAGAAAGTAATAAGAGCACACACACTTGGGGAAATAAGATAAATAAATAAATCCGAGCACTCACAGACACATCCAAGGCAGACTCAGAGGGGACATGGAAGAGTCACATCCACCCTGCCATGTTCCCAGTTCAGTGTCCTTTCATCTCCAGGGACACCCAGCTCAAGCACTATGCTGAGCTTCACTTGTGAGAGATGTTTTGAACACAACTCTCAAGAAATCCTCCCAGGTCTCGGGAGGCAGGAGGAAATTGAGCACTTAATGCCTCCAGGGTAGGGGGAAGGAGGGACAGTGCTGCTCACAAGTCCTGAGGAGACAAACTCTAAGGACTGAGGTCCCTGTGTGGTCTGAAGGTGTCCGAGATCAAACTAAGCCAAGACAAATCATGATGTTAATTCTAGCATATATGGGGTATCAAACTGTTCATATGTTCCAATTCCTCACCCCCAGAGCCCTGAGGCCAGTCAGACCCCAGGCAAGGAGTAAGAGGCTGTGTCAGAGCTCCCTGTGCCATGGCAGAAGGGGCACGGGAAGCTCTGCTCCAGCAGTATCCTGTCACAATGGGATTCTTTGCTTTGTGCTAAAACTCCTAAAGTCACAGGAAAATCAAGCAAAGAAATCCACCTCAGTATGATGGAGCCAGACAGAAACATCCCTGAAATCCCCAAGTTTCAGCCATTTCAGAGCTTCATAAGGCAGCTCATCATGAGAGGCAGTGCTGCTGCCCTCTCCAGCCAGGGCACAGCTCGGGGTGCCTGTGCTGGGGCTCTGAGGGAGAAGAGAGCTCCTGCAGGAGAGCTCTGGTTCATTTCTGCAGCAGCATGCTCCCACCAGCAGGTGAGCTTCTGCCAGGCACAGGGCAGTTATCATTTTGGTTCATATCTGGCTTTCCTTGAGGAGTTAGATCACAGAATATGTAATGAAATTTAACAGGAATACCTGTTTTAACATTTTGAGAAATTATCTGCATTTCTGTTTGTAGAGAAGAACAAAATCCAAGCAAACAGCTACCATTTCTCCATAGGCTCAGTACACATGGTTTATAAAATAGCTCACAAACACAGCTTTGTTCAGTTACCTCTACATCTTATTCAACTTAAGGATATAAGGATATTTAAAATCAAAATTTGAATTTGAGATCATGTATTGGAGCACAGAATTCATTCCACCATAAAAGCCTTTCTACCCAGGGTGGTGGTTTCATTTTCTCTCTCTTACCTGGTATAAAATCCAAGCCCTAAGTGTGAAGTGTGTCTCCCAAGGGTAACAGCAATGAACTGCAAACAGGTCCCTTCCACTTTTGTGTTAAAAAGCCAAAAGCCCCAAAGAAAGGCAGCAGCCCTGAGCAGCCCCCCAGGCTGGCTGCACTCGGGACTGGGGGTTTGGTTCCTTTCCAGGGACAAGGTCCTGGCAGTGCCAAGCACAGGCTGAGAGCAGGGAACGTTCCTGGGCTGGAACGGCGAGCGGCACCCGCTGGCACCGGCCCAGCTCCTCAAACCTGCCTCACACTGTCACCAAGCTGCCAGCAGTTTAGAGAGAAACTTGTAAGCTAAGAACACACAGTATGAATACCCCTCCCTCCCAAGAACCAGACGTGCTTTTATCTTGGGCAGAGGCAAAAGGAAGAGAAATAGCAGAAAGAGAGGAAAAAAACGCAGCCCCACTTGTGAACTGGCTCATTAAGGAAGGCACAGTGACAGGTAAGTAATTCCTCTTCCCAGGCTCTGTCACAAAGGGAGAGATTAAACCAACCAACCACACAACCTCTGAAATGCTTTGGGCAGCCCTTCTCTTCTTCCCTCCTCTCTGATCATTTACTGTTCTTTTCATTCTGCAGGTTGCTGAAATAAACACCTCTCCTTCATTTTATTCCATTACCAGACCTGGATGGAATTTTCCTTATTTTAGTAGTGAGGACATAGAACATGTGGCAGATAGAGAAGTTAAGATTTTACAAGTTTTCTATGATATTAAACTTTATAACACTTAAATGCTTTCAGTTAAATGTGGGATTGATTGTAAACATTATTAATAATTGTTATTAGGTGCCAGAGGCTGTTATAATTCTCCTTTCGCTTCCTTTCACAATGAATTGTGATAGTTTTTCTGGGATGAAGTCTCAGGTCTTACTCCTCTCATTTCTCTGCCCTGTGCTGACAGACCATCCTTACAAGGGTTTGTGGACATGGCTCAGCCTTGCAGAGCTCTCACAGTGCCAGGAGCAGTTTGAATCTCAAGCAGCAGGCAGGCCTGGTCCTACAGCCAGCCACAGTTACAGCCCCGGGAAATGGAACTGGCAGCTGCACTTCAGCCAGGACTGCTCGAGTGCTCAGCCCACAGCACTAGAAACCAAAATTAGTTAAACCATCTTCAGCACACACAAAGGAAAGCAATCAATAGCCATTTACAGAGCAAACACGAGCACAGAGCATTTGCTTTCATAAAGAAAATCACAATCTTATTGACTGCTAAACCTTGAAATGCATAACACAAAACTTTGAACTGAATCAAGCCCTGTGCTTGTTTTGATCTCCAGCCATTTTTAGAAGAGAGTACTCTAGAATATTCAGCAGCTTTCATCTCTCAGACACTTGACAGAGCCTAAGGAGCATTAAGACTAAACCTTATCAAACACAACTGCAAAACTGTGCATTGTCAATGTACTTTAGCCCACTCCTCTGGTCCATCCAGAGAGGTCACTGGAACATCCATTTGACAGTGTCATTTATCTTTTTTTTTTCCCCTGTCAAGTAAATTCTGAATAAAGGACTTCACTATGGCAAAGGTCTTTGAACATTCGTGTACCAAACAGACACAAAAATGCCTGTATCCAAAAAATTCTTTTGAACATCAGGGCCCAACAGAAGTTCCACAAAATCCTCACAAGAAGGCACAGAACTGAGCTGGGGCTGCATAACTGAGGTTGAAAGACAGACCTGGAGATAATCAGTTAATTTCCTATATATGACTGTAATTTAAAAAATGAAATCCTGTGAACAGAGGAAATTCTTGTGCATTTTACTTACAGTGCTCAGCTTACTACAGCAAATGAGGATGCGGCGCTCGTACAGCATGCTGGCGTAGAGATGCAGCATGTTGTTGACATCAACTGCTACAAAATACTCTGTCAGATTTCTCTGGGGAGAGACAAGAATCATTTTTGACTCATGATATTACGAAACCAAGTGTCCTTAACAAAAAAACCCCAAAAAACCAACAAAAAACACCCCAAACCAAAGAGATTTCATCCTTCTATTGTGCTACATCAGTACGTGGCTTAACAAAAGAAAGCAGGATTCCATCTTATGGCAGAGGCCTTTCTAACTGCAGTATGTCTCCCCTAAGTTTTGGGAAGCTGGTCTTGGAGTAATAAATAAAATAAAAGTGTGAAAGATGTTTCACACACAGCTTTTAGAATACAAGATACTTCTCTGAGAAAAAAAATCTTCTGTTCCTTTTATGGAGACTACAAAGCTGCCTGATAAAGTACCAAAAACCCACATCCAAAACTAAAAGCAGCTCTCAGAGGCCAATTCTGATACAGCAAATTCAGTTGTGAGCTCAGCCTGTGCTAAAACAATTCAGACTATTGGGAACCCTTTGGTCATTTCACACACACAAACCCAGCTGTCTGAACTGAGCCCCTCACTTCGGGCCCCCCGACATCCCTGGTGGGAGACAGGAGCACTTCCCTGGGCAGGCTGAGGAAGGGAATTCTCTCTGAGCACTTCACTTCTTAAAACAGAGAAATTAAAGAAAAGGGGAGAGGTGGAGGAAAAGGTAATACCCAAAAATGCTGAATTAGGGGATTTGTTTCCGAATAGCTTCTTACAGACATGAAAGGGTTGCTATAGGATAAAGACAGCCTTATACAAAAAGCACATGTGAGAGAAAAATTAGATTAGTCATGAATTCAAGTGCAATCTTAATCATCCTTAAATAAAAAAGTGCAGAAAAGCAAAAAGCAAATATGATTTAGAAACTTAAAGAAGCTCAACAAAGCCTATTAGCACTTTTGACAGATCCAAGATACTTGGCCTGAGAAGTCTGCCAAGATGCTTCATACTGTGCAAAAATATGTTCCCCAGCTTGCCATCCAAACACAAAGAGCTGAAGGAAAATTAAGCATTGTATTTGGGAGACTTTGGTACCAGTATGTAGAGGGATAAAAACTGAGCTCATTATGGTTGGCTTCAAACATGTAAAATAAAACAATCATTCAGGTCTTTGTTACAGCAGAGCTGGAGCCACAGACAGGTACAGTCAAAGGAGAGAAAAAAAAGCCAACACATTTTGCCAAAAACCTATTAAACTATCATGTACTTTTTCTGTATTTCTCATCCCATCTGTGCTGATTAACATGATATTTTTGTCTAAACATAAGCTGTCTTCTCTACAGCTCTTCTTCCCCCTCTCACCCACCCTTCCACCACGCCAAAACACAGCGCGTGACGACACAATTCCTGCTAATAGTGGGAATTAAAAGAATTTTTAAGGAGCCCTGAACTGCCTTTGATGGCACCCAGCTCAGGGGCACAGCAAAAGCAGCACACAATCCCTGCATCCAGCCCGGGGACGCAGCCCTGCTCCACACAGATCTGTTTGTGAGGCAACAGCCTCCCCTGCAAGAGGAAAATAGATGTGGGGACTTGATTTGCAATTGTTCTTTCATCGAGTTTATTGTGATGACATGACACACAAATGTACCTTCAGATGGAAAGATTTATAAGGTTTCAGTCTTGTCTGCTCTCCGAGATTTGCCAAGGACACCTGGGAACCATGTGGGCTGCATGGAAATGTATTGGTACTGAGGAGATTCACGTGTTCCCTCGAAGTTGTATTTATAAGAAAGCTGTCAGCTCTGAAGCTGAAATTGGGACTTACACATGTATTTTGAAAGACATGTCTCGTAAGTGACAAAACCATGAATGAGTTAAATAAATACAAATGAAAGCGTTCCAGTTTGCAGGGTAATTGTTATGTATTTTGCTTCCTAGGATTGAAACCTTTCTTGGGGCAGCAAAAAGGGGGATTTTCAGAACAGGCAACCCCACTCCTCTCAAAATTCACCAAGAGCACTACAAAGCTCCCTCACACTCCTTTGAAAGTTTATTCCCAGATCAATCATCCATCTGATCATTTGCTATCTAATATCAATAAACACACACTGACTACACTGACTTTTGAGATTAAAAATCCCTTCTCTTCCACCATCGTCTGAAGAGGAAGTTGGACTGAGTGATACAAAAATACACAGGACATCATCCCCAAGAAAATGCCATCGTTTCAGCCTGTTAACTTACCTGCTGCTTCTGAAACACAGCAGCTAGTACCAGGAATTTCAGCCTTGCTCTGTATTTCCTGCCACCAGCCCCATTTATTTCTGAGGTCACTCTGCATTTACACATCTGTCACACAACTCACATCTCCTGAAGCAGGGAATGAGTTGCTGTTACAGAAAAGTGCCCATGCTAAATGGCTCTGTAACTAATTAAACACTTTGATCTGACACAAAGTCAGGTAATTCCAGGAGTTTTGTTAACACTCCAAACAGAGCTCTGCAGCTCTCCACTCATCATCACATCCAACTTCGAAGTTTGGCACCACTAAAACTTTTGCTAAGATGTGTTTTAAACGCAATTCCTGGTAAGATCTGTGGAATTTTTACTAAATCAGGTCAATTGATTAAAATACAGCAGACTTATGCCCATTTAAGCTCCTTGTATTATTCCCTAATATGCTCCTCTTCCACAGGAAAGTTGCTTTAACAGGTAGATAAAAACCTAAGGAATTACACAACCCTGGGACAGGGGGAGGTGTCACTGCCCACGGCACGGGGTGGCACTGGATGGGCTTTAAGGTCCCTTCCAACCAAATCATTCTGGGATTTTATGATTCTGTGTATTAGGACAAGATTTAATGGTTGGTTGAGACGCAGGAATTGATTCCTGAATTACACCCAGCATATCATATTTGCACAAAAATAAAGCACCTCAGAAGAAAGAGCACATCTATTAAATTTCCTGTCAGAATATGTGTCAGTATGAAGAGTCTGCAACACAGAAAAACCAGCAACAGTGTTTTGAAAGGCAAACAAAAAGCCCCGAATGCTATCTGCTATACAAATCACCCACAAATGAGATGGAATGTCTTGATGATTCCCTTTTTACTTTCATGCCATCAGCTGAAGGATATGATGCTGAGACCGACCGCAAAATGCTCAGGGAAGAAAACGGAGATGTCAGGCACAGGAGTTTGGCTGAGACAGAGCAGGAGCACATTAAAGAGTATTTAAGAGAAGCAAATGCCAGCATTGTCTCCCCACAGACTTATCATCTGGCTGGAAAGCTGAGCCAGGCTGGAACACACCGACTGTGTGAGGCTTAGAAAGTCTCCCAAAAAGTGACTGAAGAGCCCAGGTGTGCTTGGCATTCTCAGGAGCCATCTAGCAAGCAGAGCACTTTCCTGCTCTCTCAGGTCACTCTTCCAGGGGCTGGAAGTGAAGGGCTGGCAGAGCTGCTGTTTTACCCACACCAATCTGCCCATCAGTGCCTTGTCCTTCACACAGTTCAGCTTTTAATCACACATGCAGATTGTCAGCTCCTGAATGCTCAGTATTTTACAGAATAAAACCTATCCCAAACAGAGCAGTATTTGTCATCTATATAGCTGCTGCCATTAAATGGAAACAATAAAGTGTATGGTTCTCCCAAATACTCACATTTTCAGGTATACTGGGAAGCTCTCTGGTGTCAGGCACAGTAAAGTAAGAGTGCTACAAAAAGAGCAAATATTGATTATTTCAATAATGTTGAAAGCAATCTAAATATATTACTGGTATTGGTATCAGCAGGAACAGCAGTTGCTCAGCTAAGTAAAAATGACAGAACATTAATTACCAGCTACCAGCCTGAGCTCTCTGCCCTGGATTCCACAGGCTGGGTTCCCACATCACAGGGGCAATAGGAAATGCAGTAAGATAGAAAGTATCAGATGCTCCTGGAAAGTTATATTCCATGTTTTTGTTGGTGAGAGCTGCTGCCACAGACAGGCTCACAGTGACAGATGCCAAGGAAACTCCAAGCAGGCTGTAAGTGAAGCTAGTTCCCAGCCCACGGCAGGATGGACCTCAGGAAGAGCAGCAGGCAGGGCTCCTCTGACTCAGCACAGAGAGGTTCACTCCAGCCAAGGGGAGGTTATGGAAATGTACTGGGAATTGCTTCCTAAGGCTCAAGGCCTGCTTACCTGAGAAGCACTGAAAAGCTCTAGGTGACTTTTATACACCCTAAAAGCACATTTTGAAAGACCATATTGCTCTCATATTTTCATAATCCATTCTATGGTTCAGTATTTTTAATTGTGTGCATTCCAGGAGCCCAGGCTCACTGCAGCTCCCAGTCTGACCACGGATGGCCTGCATGATCCTTGGTCAGGGCTTTGGAAAGGAGAGAATGGGACTTGTACACAATTCATACAATTTTTAAGATTTTCACAATTTGTCTAAAGGTTACTTATTAATTACTGGCTGAAGCCTTAAAGGCTGTTCCATCCTTGGCATAGCTCCACAATTGGCACAGTTCTCTTGCACACAAATCTCAGCCATCTCAGGGCTTCCTGATCAGGCTGTAACCTGAAATAGCAGGCAGGGACCACAGCTCCACTGAATGGAGACACTGAATGAGAAACACAAGTTTGGCTTTCTGATGCTTCACTCGTTTGGTTTGGTTTGGTTTAGTTTAGTTTGGTCTGGTTGCAAAGATGCAATGCCAAGGCAGAGGAACAGCACTCAGAGCTGTACCACACAGAGGAACCTCAGTCTGACCCTGCAATGGGCTCAGAAACAGCCAAAATAAAATCAGAAAGGCACGGTCCCTGGGCTGCTTTTTTCTATCCTTTCTTGCTCCATTGCCCATGAAATGGCTGAGACAAGGGGAGACAGGCAGCATTCCTTGGAAGCACTGGTATGAAAAAACTGGAATATCCCCACTGGTATGAAAAAACTGGAATATGCCCTGGCCTTGGGAGGCAGCTCATGCCCTAAGCAGGAATGCTGCTCCTCAGGAGGGTCTTTGAGGGGCTGGGGACGTGTCCAGAGCCAGCGGGGACCAGCAGGGCCACACAGCTGCCCCTGGGCACTGCCAGCCTTGGGGGAGCAAGGGGCACGAGCTGCTTCTTGCCAGAAGGTGCTTAAGGGAGTAAAGGAAATGCAAGGGAGGTTCCCAGGAGGGTCCACATGAGCTCTCAGCTGGCAGCAGCAGCAAGGAGCCTCTGCAGCGCTCACCACAGCTGCAGCACGGGCTGTGCTGCTAAAATGAAGCCCAAATCCCCAAAAGATTAAATTCAAAATACAATCCTATCAATAAAATCCCACATCTATACTGTCAGTGTGCTTTGCTTAACTTTCTCACAAAATACAAAAATGAATTAAATTCTTTTTTGTGTGAGGTTTTTGAGGCAGAGGGAAGGAAGAGGAGAAGGAACCAGAAAATGTGATGAGCAGTTAATAGTCCCAAGGCTGCTGTGACAGGGAAGTGCTGTTTGCTTCCCAGCCTCTCCCCCTTCAAACTCCCAGGGCCAGGAGCTGTGGGCAATAAATGTCCTGCTGGTGCTCCTGCCCTCGTGCAGGTCACCCAGGGTATGGTGAGACATTCCCAGGGGAATACACACAGCCTTCCTCCAACCAACTGCATTTCAAAGACATCTGAGGTTAGGGAGAGGGAAGCAGAGGGCCCCAGTTGTGAAAAGGGAATTTCACAGCTCCTCACAGGAAAACAACACCTGTGTACAAGCTCCAGGAGAGAGGATTGCTTTTGACATTCCTCTAGTAGGACATGGAATGAATATTAAACACCTTAGTTTACATCTCCCCCCACACTCACCACTCCAAGATGAACAGAGGTTCCTGGCTCAGGGATGGTGAGTTTATGAAATGTTTCCAGGAGCTCACTCCTCTGACTATCCTGAAATGAGAATAAACCAGGAATAGTGAGCAAACTGCTGCTGTCACCAGGCAAGCTCTCAGCCAGAAGGGCAGGGTAGGCCAGGGGGTGGGTAAGCATTTTGCATTTGTAAGATCAGTTCTACTTTTACTGCCCGTGATAAGCTTGGATCAGACAGCTGGCAGAGACTGATGGGGCTGTGCAATATGGGAACTGCAGGATTACAGGAACTGTGCTGGACACAGCTCAGGGAGTCAGGACAGGCAGCATGGGTGACTGCAGGGACTTGGGTCGGACCCACAGCCACAGTCTTGCTCTTTATCTTTTTCAAAAAAAAATTAAATGTGTATTTATCTTTCAGAGGCACTTGCCAAGCTGAATATGATCTTCTGTATCACTGCATTATACAGATTAATAATTCACGTGGTCATCTCTAATAGAAGCACTTCTTCAAGCAGCTTCTTTCATCCTCTCACCCTCATCCATTTGATATTGGGATAGGAAAAGGAGGGTCAGAATTTTAGAATAATACCTGTCCTTTTGCTGAATAATCTGCCAAGACATTGAGCAGTTTATAAAAGACTTCAAACCACGGGAGGTAACTGGAATGAAAAAGAAAAAAAGTAAAAAAAGAAAAGACTGTTATTTTGGTTTAAATCCTAATACAAGTGGGCTTTGAAAATTGAATAATCAGTATCTCAGTTTTTAATTGTTTTAAAATCTGATTCCACCACTGTATTTAGCCTGGCCCTTGCTTCAGTCAAACAGAAACTTCACCTTTGGTACATGCACACAACTTCCAAAAGAGAAGAAGAAACAAAATTAAAAGGGAAACATACAGAAAAATCACTTTTTTTTCATTTACTTTACATCTCCAATCCACAAAGTAAGACAGTGAGGATGTTCCTTTCCCCTGCAGCTGTGGTAGGATTCTGTGCCCTGTTTCCATGGCACAGTTCTGTATTTCAATCCCTTTCCCAACACCAGTGAGGAATTTCCCTCGGCTGCGGCGAAGGCAGAGCCAGCCAGAGATGCACTCCTGATGCTCTTTAATCACAGCTGCTTTCTGCAGCAAATGGATTCTATTTTGATATGGTTAGACAGGATTTAAAGTTTTCATAAAATATGACTACATCCTGACAGCTGTAAGGAATGGAGTGCCCTGTGGTCCCTGGCTGTGCAGCTCTGGTGATAAATGAGGTGAGAAGCTCTCTATGAGACAGGCAAAGTGACTGGCACTCCATCATTAGCGTTTGTTTGAAGCCTGCAAATGCTACTGTAAAATGTAAGTAGCTTATCAAAATATACTGATAAGCAACTTAACTTTTCATGTTATATGACAGTATTATCGTTTAAATTAATATGCTCTAAACATCTTTACAAAGTGTGTATTCGAATAGAGCAGAACGACAGACAATTACCACTTTAAACAGCATTTAAGTTTGACATTATATTGTAAACAATCCAGAAGGATTAGGTAGAAGATAAGTTTCTTTCTTTCTGTTTAGTTAAATAAACTTCAGCAGAGTTAAAAGCCATTACAAGAGTAACAAGAAATCCTCTCCAAACATATCTGCTAAGTAGAGATTAAGAACCTGGTAAACAAATCCGTGCAAGGCATCTATCAAAGGAGTTTGAGAAGACAGAAAAGCAGGAAGGCAGAAAGCTCCCTGGCAGTGGGAAACCAAAGCTGCTTCCACAGAGGCACCATTAAGAGTTCCACCTAATCGCTCAGGGACTTGGCCATAAAAATACATTTACTGAGTTAAAATGAGAGTCCTTAAAACCATTACTGTGCTCCTAATGTCTGTGGATCGTGTCTTGTACAAGGGGGAAACAAAAGCAGGTTCCCCAGGCCCCCACCTCGGCGGGCCCAGGGGAGCTGGAGCCGGGACCCAAGGGGGCAGCGCCGAGCCCCCGGAGCAGGGCAGATCCTGGGGGTCCTTCAGAGCCCCCCTCACCTGCCCTGCCCGGGCAGTGCCCAGTGCTGGGCTCCTGCAGCTGCCAGGGCAGTGCCCTGTGCTGGGCTCCTGCAGCTCCCAGATTCTCCCTGAGCTCCTGCAGCTCCCAGGGCAGTGCCCACTGCTGAGCTCCCTGCAGCTCCCAGGTTCTCCCTGGGCTCCTGCAGCTCCCAGGTTCTCCCTGAGCTCCTGCAGCTCCCAGGGCAGTGCCCGCTGTGGGGCTCCTGCAGCTCCCAGGTTCTCCCTGAGCTCCTGCAGCTCCCAGGTTCTCCCTGATCACCAGCACACAGCCCGCATGGCACGGCTGCAGGCTCCAGCCATGAGAATACTCCAGCCCAAACCAACTTCCCATTTTTACTGGGCACCCAGGAAAGAGCCTCTGTGATTCCAATAAAAACAGCCCAGATACATCTCACATTCACACAATGTCACCAGCAAAGCCCCCACACAGAAGCAGACACAGCCCCATTTCTGCTACCCTTGTGATCCCTGGCTTTCCCTTCTCTTCCCCAGTATCCTCTGATGAACCTATTGTCCTTTTTTAACATGCACTCCTCTCCTTGCTTTCCAAATGCTGGGTTAGCATCTCATCATAACTGCTTCTTTTTCCATCTTTGAAGCAGAACTCATCCCTCCACAACACATGGGGGTCTGTGTGGCTCTTGCTCAAGAGAGGGGCAAGACAAACAAAGACAAACCCACCACAAAACTGTGTAAATTATGCAGACAGTCTCACTTCAGTTTTCATCCCCTCCATTGTCACCACACAATTCAGGACCTCTCTCATCCCAAAATTTCTGGACACATTAGAAAGCTAATTTATCCTGCCATCTTCAACACTCTTACTTCATCACTTAATCCATGTTGACCACTCAAGAATAAAACAGTTCTGCTTTTATTAGACCAAACTGTGACCAGTTAAAGTTGGAAAAAATCTAAAAAATCCCCTAAGAAACACAGTTATCTGAATTTGTTTCTCGATGTCTGCCAAAAGGACAAAGGAAAAAAATGTGTATTTTTTTCTTACAGAAAGCAAATCCTCAAGGCAGCCTTTAAGCACCCCTCCAAAGAAACACAGGCAGAGTTTATAACCCAAAATTTCTGTACCGCGTGGACCTTAAGCAGCACAACTGGTAGCACTACTGAAGATTTATGGCTTATGACTTGCTCATATTTAATTTGTAACCAAACACTTCCCCTTCCTCTTAGCTACCTCAGAAGTTTTGATTAACTCTTGTTTTCACAGGTCAGAGGTTAAGCAAAGGAAGGAGCTCTGCGGTGAGACTGCCCAGAGCCCGAGCGGGGCCGGCCCTGGCTCGGCACCGAGCCCGGGGCCAGCGCAGCTCACCCAGCAGGGCTGTGCTTCAAAGGCTCCTCGGGCACACAGCTCCTCGGGCTGCACACCAGATAAAGGGCAGCCTGAAATTTCAGCTCTCTCTTGGCTTTTGGCTTACTCCTGGAAAGGTAAATCTCCAGTGAAGTCAGCTCAAAAAAGGAGAGATTTCCCAGTGTTTTTGTAGCAGGCAATAGGAAGGAGGATGCAATAGCAGGATAGCCAAGCTGAGGATGCTGAACTCATCAAATCCAACTTCCAGGGAGCACTCCAGGGTTTGGGAACCTTGTCAGCAGAAGCACTCCATGTTCCAGTGCAGCACCAGCAAACCCTAGTGGCAAGGCAAGGGGGGCCTTCTCCAATGATTTATGAGGATTTGCCAATTACCATAGCAACTGTTTATAAAACTAATGTTTAACATTGCCAGCTCCAACATTCCAGTTACTGGTGTGCTGACCCCATGAAAAAGCAGAGCCAACACTTGTGGAAGGGTACCTGTGGCACCTTGGACCTTGGCTCACGATTCCTGGAGCAGCAGAGCAGCTCCTGGGCCAGGTACAGGCTGAGTGCACTCAGGCACAACTCTTGTTTGAAATCAGTGGCACTCAGTGACTAGTCTGACATCAACACAGATCTGCAGCATCTCCTCCTAGACTGAGTTGCAAGCACACATAACTTTTACTCCTTCCATTCACACAGATCAGAAGTGGAATTTTTAACACGTATTTATTTATAACACATACTATATATATTTTGATAACAGCATAACCAACTGCCATCTCCCTTGCAAAACAGAACAGTCATTTCCATTTTGCAGATGGGCACACTTCTCTGTGGTGACAGGCTTACAAAATCTGTCTGTATTAGCCAGGATTGGTTTCATGGAGTTCCCAAATCTTGACCTTTTTGCTCAGCACAAGTAATCTACATGACCTAGAACACAGAATACAATCATGACCTCAGTTATTACATGAACTATAGACATATCATCACTAACTTCACTGACAAAAGTGTAAGGAAGAGGAAACTCAGGCCAAATGCATCTTCTGCCAGCACTGCTCCTGCCTGTGCCACTGAAACACCCAGTGCCTGTTCATGGACTCTGAAGAACAGATAACAACAAATAATAATTCCCCTGTGCCAGGTCCTGGGTGTGGCAGTGATGTCACCGTGGAGTCAGAGGGTGACACTGCAACAGGAGTGACCTGTGCCACATGGGCAGCTGCTCCTCTCCCTGGCCCCTCCACACCACCACTGCAACCAACAGCAAAACTCCAGCACAGCTGGGAGAGAGCTGAAAATCCCAAGGAAGATGCAGCAGATTGAGAAAAGAGATTGAATTATTATTATTATTATTATTATTATTATTATTATTATTATTACTACTACCATTTTTCATTTCAATGTATGAACCCAGTGAAGGTTCCTGGTGAAGCAGAACACATTTTCTGACTCACAGTGCCTGTCAATTCCTGCAGGACAAAGACAGATCCTCAGCAGGAGCTCAGAAGGATCTTTGTGGATAATCCCAACACTGTGTTTGAAAAAATGCAAGGATGGAAAACATATCAAAAATTACTCCAGTCTCCTGGTGATTTGTTATCTTAGGACTTCTTGCATTTAATGATAAAACTCTGCAATTTAAACTTAAATCCAATACTGCTTCTTTCCATCCTCCTGTACCTGACAACTAATGATTCTCCCCCCAGCCAGCATTATTCCTAATCACGGAATCACATTCTATTTTAGGTTAGTAATGGTTCTAATGATGAACTAAGCTATGTTTGCCAAGCCACAATTGTCTTCAGGGCTTCTATGCAAACATGATTTTAAATAGCAAAAACACATAATCAAAACACCTTCTCCTTCCCTTCATTAAAAGTATTCATTTCCCTTTTTAATTCTTTCTAAATTTCACCTTATTTTTTTTACAGTTAAGATGAAGTAAAATGACATTAAACTACAGATTTTTAAAACTAATCCCATTTCTCTGCTCAAGAGAGGGATGACTCCCCACATGCTGTTATTTTCCTTGCAGGAATACACTATTAAATTCTTTTCCCCACCTTCCTTTCCTTCTGTCACCCAGTGTTTCCAACATCTTTACAAAACACATTTGAAAGAACCAAGGCATCTCTAGGCTCATTTGGGAATTTCCACAGGCTAAATTCTCAGTTCAGCTGTTTCTGTGTTCGGTGTCCTCCCTACACCTCCTGGGCCTCAGTGCCTCGTTATTCTCTGCTCTAGACTCAGTCTATTGACACCTTCTCACACTTAGGAGCTTAAGCACAGACACCCCAAATCTCCA